TTTTGTAGCAGTCTAGTAAGCACAGCTCTGACATGTTGACAGTGAGACTCTATGTTCTTGGAGAAAAAGTAACCAGGTAGACAAAAAACAATTTGATTAATCATGTCCCTAAGGACGTCATTCACAAGAGCCTGAAAAACAACTGGTGCGATGGTGAGACCAAAAGGCATTACCAAATACTCGTAGTGTCCATTGGGTGTGTTGAACGCCGTCTTCCCTTGGTCCCCCTCCCTGATGTGGACCAGATGATTGGCATTTCTTAGGTCAAGTTTAGAGAAGACTGTAGAACCTTGGATGTGGTCGAACGCTGTGGACATGAGGTAAAGGGCATTTATTTTTTATGGTGATCTTCTTAAGACCTCTGTAATCAATACAGTGTCTGAGAGAACCATCCTTTTTACCAACAAAAAAAGAATCCTGCACCAGCAGGGGATGCTGATGGTCTAATAATACCAGCTTGAAGTGATTATTTGATGCATTTCTGCATAGTAGTATTCTCTGGACCAGATAAGGAATAAAGACTTCCCCTGGGTGGGGTGGTACCTGGAATAAGGTCAATAGCACCGTCATATGGACTGTGAGGAGGAAGAGAGGTGACTTTGACTTTGTTAAACACCTCCTTGAGGTCATGATACTCAGCTGGTACTTTAGACAGGTCTGGATAAGTTTCTTTAATGTTCTCTGGATTGATCTCAGGTAGAATTGCCTCAAAAATATAGGTAGAAGGGCATTCTTCTGACCAACCCACAATCTCCTTACCTCTCCAATCAATGCAAGGGTTATTTTAGTTAAGCCACATGGCACCCAGATCCACAGGGAGTTGGGGTGAGTTAATCACAATAAATCTCAGTCTTTGTGATTAACCCCCAGTAACAAAGTTAAGGGTGTTGTTTCCAGGCTAGAATCATGAAGTGAATGACTGTCCAGGGCAAGAACTTTGTGAGATTTAGAAGATTGGTTTAGTTCAATACCCACAGATAAAGCAAACTGATGGTCTATGAACTCGGTATCTGCTCCTGAGTCTATAAAGCAGAAACCGCTATGGATCTCTTATCAGCCATTTGTATCTCCACAGGAACAGTGAGGAGACTTTAGGGGTTCTGATCTGACTCAACAGGCTTCTCCTTGCACCTCTTGAGGCTGGTCTTTTAACGGACACTTGGCAATGGTGTGGTTGACCTTGCCACAGTAAAAACAGAGGTGTAACCTCCTCCTTCTTCTTTCCCTTTTTTCTAGGGGTGTAACGGTACGCTAAAAATCCCATTTCGGTTCGGTTCAGTTCTATTTTGTATAGGCTTCGCCCTTTAAGGCTTTCGCTTTGTGGGTTTATCCCGTTATGCGTAGCATTAGCACTGAAAAATTTAGTCCACGCCCACCTGCTGTGTGGGCCCCACCCGGTCTGTATAATTACGTTAAGAGCTCCCGCTCTTAACGTATCGGCTCCCATTTTTTCTTCAGCGAGCTAAATAGCACTGTCAGAAGAACAAAGAAGGAAAATTGTGTAGATGACCAACCTTTGTTAAAGATGCTTGGCCCGGCAGTCGACCTCCGGTCGTCTGGTGGGTTCTCCTCCCCGAGGAGAAGCTGACGAGCAGTCTTATTTCAAGGTAATCGCCGAGGAATATTTCTCAGTGACAGGTCACTACACGCTGGACAACGCCATCTTGTATTTTTCCTCTTATCGCCGACCCTGGGAGCGAATCGGATGGTTCCTCCGGGACAGGCGCGCTCAGCTGCAGCCCCGCTGCTCATTCCCTCCTGGGGAGCGTAGTGTCGGTGGAGGGGGGCTGAGTGAATGCTCACCCCATCCCACCTCGTTTCGCATCGGCGATCACACCGCTCCCGGCCGACGGCGCCCTCAGGGGTTGCCCGGCGTAACCCAGGAGGCGGCTGACATGAAAGGACCCTTTTTTACGTCCTACACCTTTCCCGCCAGTTCGGATGATCCGGCGGGAAGGTTGTTTACTGGGCTCCATTCCGGCTCACCATCTTGATCCATATGGCCTTGTGTTCCCAACAGGACGTCCTACGGGCGAGGCCACAGATGGGTTTTTTCCTAGTAAATTGGGGGAGCCGGCCTCCACAGTCCGCACCCATCTCCAGAGCAAGGGTTCACTGAGCGGAAAGTCCCTCCGTGCCACCTGGAGCCGAGCCTGATGGAGGCTTCATTGGAGTGAGATGTCGAGGTGGACCAGCATCCCGTGCCTCCAGTTAGCATAACTGAGACGGTGACACCGCTCTCCAACTGAGCTCACCAGCATGTGTAGAGGAACATATATCTGTGATATTTTATCCATAAATTAAACGGATTCTTTCATTTTTCTGGACTGAATTCTATTGTGCATTGAATAATTAAATGTAACGTGAGACGTTAATTTTCTTTGACCCATCAAACGAATGTGGTCATTTATTAACAGAATCAAAGTTTAACATCAAACATTTACATTAATTTGGCAAATTGATTTCAACAACAACATAGCTTAGTTAGCAAGCTTTACAATTAGAAAACCACACGGCCATGGTTTCCCTTGCAACTTTAAACCAACAGACATTTCTGAAAATATCTGGATTAATTACTGGCAAGATAGAAGAGTTTAAAGATGGGGAATGAAGGAGTTAAGTGGAGAGAAAATGTGTGTGAAGGAAAATGTGTCGGTATAAGAACGGCACTCTCCATTCGAACCCAGTTTCATCTCGGTACGCTTCAGTAGGAAATCGACTCGTTACCTCTCTGAAGATGAATCAGCTGGTACGGAGTTCCATTTAACGCTACCATTTCCAGCGTCTCCGTAGGATGGTTGGGAAACGTCCGGAGTAGTGACGGTACTTTGTTCGACACACGTTCACCTCCCGGGTGGGCTCACATGAGTTGTGAGTCCGTCAGAGTTCCACTCAGATGTGGAAGATTGCATAATTCCCACAAGACTTGGAAGAACTTCGGATCATGTCTGGAACCTCCTGTTCTCTCCAGCACTTTTCTGTTCGGTTCTGCTCTCCGAACTGAACTGCTCTCCCACCGCACTCTGGTTGGAACTAGGAAGTGTCGACATTTAAAGAGTTCTGTTTCCGGTTCATTTGGGAAGTCCTGATTGGCTGAAAGAGC